AGTCAAGACAATTCCTACACCACGTTGACCCACAGCTCTAGCTGCTTCGTCTCCTGAGGTGCGCAAAAAATACCTCGATGAGATGCCAGGAGCAGTTAGTTGAATTACACTGCTCGAATCCTGGATATGCGTTTCGCTTAAGCAGCAGACATCAATCTTCAGAGAATTTATTGTGAGGGCTAGGCACGCCTGCTGACCGGCCTGCATGAGTGTACGCACGTTGAAGGAGCCGAGATTAGGAGGCTGACGGGGCTTGAGAAAATGTGAGTTACCAGACAGAGGATTATTCCCGATACTATTTGACATTGAACTGTTGCGAGTATTGACCGTGTTATCAGTAGGAGCATTATGGGTGGATAGATGGGGCAAAGAGGGATGGTTAGGGGCAGAAGACAAAGGTTGAATAAAAGAGAGGGAACTCTGAGCAGTAGCCCACTTATCACTACACACCCCGCTCGATGCAATGGGCAGCGCGGTCCTGATTAGCCTGCGCGACGACCGATGCAGTATGGAATTCTTTGTAGTCGTGCAGTTCATGGGAGATGTTGGACGGGTACTGCTAGGGTGTCCAGCCACAAAGCAGCCCGCGGTTCCGTTGTCTCTAGTCTTGGGCTTGATACTACACATGTGCTGACTGCTAACGTGACTAGGCCGCCCACCAACGATGAGTCATCACGCCTGAGACAAAGTGGACAGCATGCAGTTCAGTGCAGTTCAGACAACCATTACTCATGAACTGGGTGCGGTGGATTTGGTTGCTGTGTCCTGGCGGCAATCTCAAAAGAAAACCATGGAGGAGAAAGACGAGAACTGCATTAATCGAATCAAGTCGATGAAGAAAGTTTGTGAATGCAAGAGCACCACTGATCGCGGCATTAAGCTACATCCCCCAACGTATCTAGTCGTTGAGTGGGAGGGTCTCTTGGACCCCACCAAGGGGGTCTAACACGCCCTACATGGCTAAGTCCACTAGTTACGCTTTTCTTACCTTTCTTCCATGTCATGAACTGACCACCCTCCAGAAAGAGTAAGTCCCGGTGCGAAATAATTATTCCCGCCTTGTCCATTTCTCCCACGACAGTGTCCCTTTTCGCGCCTATCGTTCTCAAGTTGGTTAGAGACACTGAAGGATATGGCAGCGAACCGTGAACAGTGGCGATCGTGTCGTCACTTTCTATTGAATCAGAATGATTGACCAGTGTGCGTTTGTGTAGTTAGACTGTGTAATGTATGTGCTGGCTCCCAGGACGTTCTTTCCTCCCACCCCCATGTAGGTCCACTGCCTCTCCACTTTGTACATTCAAACTTGTCCTACTGTTTAACGCCGTATGATGATGATGATGATGGTGAAGTTATTTATGGTTGGCGGAAATAAGATTTCGATTGAAGCTGGAAAAGTGCCATTTCATACAACCACAGGTGATCTATCTGAGACGCAATCTCGTTTGCTGACATCCGCACGGACTCAGAGATAATCGAACAGGTTACATCATAACCCACACCAAGAACCGCGGAAGAAGTGAGAAGCTTCTCTGAGTTGGGACCGTTCTACTGTAGATTCGTAACAAACTTCGCCTAGATTGACTTCCCGTTGCATTCTCTGCTAGAAAAGGGCAAACCATTTGAGTGAGACTCTCGATGCTAAGACTCGTTTAATACCCCGCGGAAAAGACCTTGTTCTACATCCATACTAGCATTCTGTTCTGTTCTGTTCAGACAACTATTAATCATGCACTGGGTGCGGTGGCTTTGATTGCTGTCTCCTAGCGGTAATCTCAAAGGGAAGTAATGGGGGAGAGAAGAGTATCAGAGGACTAAGAGGATAACTACATTTGACCGATGGTGGTCGAATAGTTTAGAGCGTTTGCTTACCACCCCGGAATTCCGAGGTTCGAATCCCCGCCATCACCGGTTACTTTGGTGGTAGAAGGTTATCCTCTGTCGTCCGGATCGTTACCACACCTAACCTAATGAGACCTTATGTGGTTCTTCGCCACTCCAAGTCTCAGGGCTCGGTTACCGGTTATCCCCAATAGTGTAGTGAGCCCTCGTGGCTATGAAGTGTATACCCCCTCCACTGCACTCATGCGCAAGCATGTAATCAAGAGAAAAAATAATAGAATTAAGCCAATGAAGAAAGTTTGCGAATGCAAGGGCACCGCTGGTCGCGGCATTAAGCCATATCCCCCAACGTATCTAACTGTTGGGTGGGATGGTCTCTTGGACCCCACCCAGGAAGTCTAACACGCCCTACACGGTTAAGTCCACCAGTTAGGCTTTTCTTATCTTTCTTCCATGTCATTAACTGACCACCTTTACTCATCTTCCAACCGGTACCCGCCCCAGTAAACACAGCACACCGAGGGATCCTGTCAGAGGACATGCGTAACACATGTCCCAACCATCTTAGCCTGGTGAGCTTATGTGTTGCATCTAATGATTTGATCCTTGAACCTAAGACTTTCCGCCGAACCTCTGCATTGTTCACACGGTGTTCCCATCAGATTCGAACAATACTACGAAGAAATCGGTGTTCAAATACCGCCAACCTTCGTATGCCCTCCACCCGCAGTGGCCATGTCTCCGAACCATACAGAAGCACGGGCCTGACTGCTGCAGCGTACGTTCGGCCTTTGATGGGTAAACAGATGCCATGTTAACGCCCCAGTTGACTCAGATTGGAAAATGCCAAACGAGCTTTCTGTATACGCAGAGATACCTCATCCGATATCCGACCTTCGGGTGAAATGCAGCTCCCCAGATAACAAAACTCGTCTACCACGTTTATAGTCTCCCAAGACACTGAAAATTTTGGGGTTGAACCAAAGCAGTCCTGCAACAGCATCTTGCACTTTGAAGGTGCAAAACACATACCGAACATTGCTACGCAATCCGTCAAGCTAACTAGAAAGGCGTGTAACTTACCTGGATCTTCACTTAGAAGAACTATATCGTCAGCATACTCAAGGTCTAAAACCTTTTCATACGGGAAAAGTACAATGCCACTATCCTCACCTGAAAAAAGGACCATTTCAATCACAAAGTTGAAGAGAAAAGGAGAGAAGAAGCAACCCTGACATACATCACTTCTCGTGGTGGACTTGGGTGAAAGATCACCGTAAGCCCGAACTCGGCTTCGACTATTAATGTAAAGGAACTTGACGATGGAAATGAATTTCTCTAGTACACCCTTCAACAAAATGCAGCGCCAGAGAACTGGGGCATACACAGAAACGATAAACAGGCATCGGCGCTTCAGTCTATTGTTGTTGACATACACAAAACCACTCAACCAAACTATACACAGACGGCTGCTGACTGGGATCTATTCGAGCAGTGCACGCTCAGCCTTCACGCTTAGAGCGATGCCAACGCCAGCCTGACCACGAGCACTAAACGCCGAATTACCCGACACGCGAAGAGTGAAACGAGAATCCGAGGTTGTATCAGGGGAACGAAGTATTAACACTAAAGTTGCATCTTGTATGCGTGTTTCGGAGACACAACACACGTCTATGTTAAAGGTTTCAAGAGTCCTAGTTAGGGCAGCCTGTTGCCCCGATTGGCAAAGTGTGCGGACGTTGAAAGCAGCTAAGTGAAGAGGATGCTTAGGTCGGAGAAAAGATTCTCTTTCTTCCCCTGTTTTCAATTTGCTACCCTTTCCGAGAGCTACAAGTTCACAGTCACGGCTCATTGTGGCTACTCGTACGCATTTAGAATTGGAACGTAAAGGATGGAGAGCAGAAAGATAAGGAGTGTTTCCCGATTGATCGGTGGAGATTTCTGGGCGTATCATACTTCGCGGTTGCCCACACCACAGAAGGGGTTTTTCTTTGGGAACTCTAACCGGAGCCTTTGACTCAAAAGTCTGACCCACAAGGCACTGGGGCGTTAACCCAGCACGGGAACGTGACCGAAGAACCCGTGAAGGAACTTCTTTTGGTCTGTCACGTGAGACCTGATTAGTGCATGCGTGTTGTCTTGTCTTCTCTGGTGCTTCGTTATCGATCCGCCTTTCGGATTCAGTCCTTAGCCCCATGCACCCAATGGAGCAAGCGGAACGTGGACGGGGCAGCATCCTGTGGGCTGGGGGCTGCCCAGCTTAGGTGGGCGATAGCTGCCCACCGTCGAGAGAAACCCCAAGTGCTCCATTTCCATGTCCATCTAGTGGAGATTTTTAGACCGGTAAACAGCTTCTCTCCGTGTTTATTCGCTGGAGTATTCTTTCCAGAAATAGTGGTTAGAGCCATATGTTGCCCATCAACTGGTTCAGAGACTGGACTTCGTCTGGCCTCTACACATCGACCTGTCAAGCATGATTGCATCTCCAGGTTAAGGTTAGCTCTTTGGGTCATGGAGGCACGCAAGCCATCACACCACGCCAAGGTATAGTCTCGTCGTGATGGACAGTACGCAGAGCATACAGAATTTTGGCTCTAACCAGAAGAATCTAACAAATGCAAGCGCATATGAGTGTGTTTGATAAACTATAACGGCGGTCATGCTGATTTCTAGGAACACATACTATTATGTTTCTGTTTCACCACGTCAATGGCATTTCTTGATTAGTCATCAAAAGAAATTTGTTCGGCAAATTCTAAGTCGAGCAATCTAACTGACGCAAAAGGCTTTATAAACCACCGAGGAGTCAGTAATGAGTGAGACTCCCTTGTTGCACACTGTAACAGAGGACCGATTACTTTTCTTGAAAAACTGACTTGTGACACTACGGTATCAGTGTAACGTATCATAAATATGAGTCACTATCGTGTCCAGGGTGAAATGGAAACCAAACTGTACGTTTCGAAAATGAATCGAACCAGTGACAATGATTAAGGACGGAAAGGCAAAAAGTTTATGCATGCTACCCTTTGGATAGTGTGTCATTGCTCAACTTAAAATAATAATCGAACCGAGTCAGTTTAACTTCATTATGTCCCGCCACTGCAGTATATGACTAACAAAAGCAATGCACAAATATGACGAATTAGATAATTTACCAAAGTTCCGGGCCAAAATGCATCTAGACTTTGGAATAGAGGACGGGTCACATGAGCGCTATCCTTGTTGATTCGGAAATGCCAATCGCCGTGCTTCGCGTGCAAGTCAATCGCCTTCTTATACTCTGTTGCACAATGTATACGAAGGGTTTATGTGAGCAGTATAAGGTGAGATAAAACTTGACAAACACAAGCTAGACAATGATCACGTACGGAAGTTAACGCAAAAGAAAAAAAGAAGTGAACACCAGAACACTAGTATGCAAAATAACACAGCTGGTTAGCATCTTACTAATTAGCACTACAACTTTCTTCCTCTTGTTCATCATAGAGAAGTTGTTCAATATTTTAAACTAGGAGAACGCAGTCGGCCAGTCTCGTAGTGGATGGCGTTCATGAGATACGGTGAGATTGAAACCCAGAACCCCAATTGTTTTCTCTTCGTGATGTTACTCATTTGAGCACCAGAGTTAATCTTTACTTAAACATCAACCACGTATTCTGCTCACAGCAGACAAGTAGAATACACGCAAAACCTGAAACCAGGGCACACCAAAGAAGGACCAATAATAGGAGTATTCCTATTTCTCTGTACATTCCTGAAATCAATGGACAAAAGTGACCGCAAAACTTGTCACAGTGGGTAATTAAATGCCCGGTTCGGTTTACAAATCCACTGAGCAAGCACCTGGATGGAATGAATCCGACTATGGTGTTTTCCGTACTTGAAAAGCGATATCTTTGAAACACTGGTAGGGAAGAATATCAGCAGAAGTATATAGCCCTTATTACCTAAGGCCTTCAATCACATCCGGCGATCGGATATCGGACCAAGTGTCGTCGCGCATGCGTTCATCAACGGTCGAGTTTACGTTCGCTATACAGCTCAGAAGCGTGATCGTTAGGCGTGGAAGATACGCGAAGAATATAACTGCTTAAACATCGACGTCTAAGCAGAATTGCTCGAGTGTGTTCAGACTACCGTATCAGCACTGCTGATATTAGGTGTGTAGGTACCTGTACATTTCCGACTTTTTCCATGATTTTCAACGTCCCTTGGTGCAACACCCTTTTGTTGTACCGACGTTTTAATGTAGAGCACACACACACACACCTTTTTGGTCGTCATCACCGCGCAATACAAAAAAGCTAACAATAAATCTTTCGTTCTGGCACGGTCTCACCTTCTGATTTGGAGTGTCTTGGAATTATATCGGTCGGAACTGACTGTGAGAAACAAAACATTTTAGAAGCTTTCACGGCGTCTCTTGGCACTTCGCTCAACACCATCCTGTTCTGTTCAACGGATGGGTGTCAGACCGAACTGAACTGAAGACATTGGCGGATATTGGCTCTTCGGCGCTCATTTCCTGATCACAAGAACACTGAACAACTGTAAGTTTGTGTCACACCTTTTGTTTCATTTTAATTCCTAATGTACATACCCTTTTGGCCTTTTTATCACCGCACGCTCCTCCGCCCATCTTAGTTTGCTGGTGTCGTCTTAGATATTGTTGACAATAATTTAGTGTACCACATAGACAAAGTAGTACGCCACAGGTGTAAGGAATTCAGAACCAGAAGTCAGCTTCTGGATCAAGCGTTCGAACTATACATGTAACATGGCTTGAGATGGTATTGAGTATATACACAGATAAACCCTTTCGACGTGCCTTGTTCTCGTGAACAGAACGGTTGGAGGATGGGGCGAGGTGCTCTGTCTAGGACACGGCGAAAAACTATGGCCACCTTAGCCAGTTTGCTAGATCGAACATGACGTGATAGGTTTCCGGATTGAGGTCCACGAGACAGGGCAATGTTGGGGTTCGGCCGACGTACCTATGCTATTCAACCACCACCAGTATGCAACATAGGTTGAGGTGAATAACAAATGGAACACGTGTAAGGGTTAATGGGCTTTTTAATGCAGAATTTTCATTCCGGGATTCGGTCGTGTGAGACGTGTTATTACCTGGGCGGAATTCACAAGACCAACCGAATCGAAGACTACGAACGTAAGGTGGCACGACCATATGTAGCGACCCGTGAATTTTTTGTATTCACGCTATTCCTTCATTTTTCTAGTGCATTTGCATGTCATCGTATCTTGCTATTATCATACAACGTTTATTGAGACAAAAACTAAGTCCGTCGTATCCAGTGCACGTTGAACGATTGATAAAACGAAACTGATGGGTCTGACTTCTAACTCTCGCAAAGAAGAAACACAAAAAGCATAAAAACCATAAAGGTAGAATAATCAAATATTGGCTGGGCGGTTGTTGTGATTACCGCCTCGGAATATAACAAGTCTTATACGATCAGGTTGCATAACTTTTTGCTGCATCACTGACTGGCAATCGTTTACTGATGAACCATTATTCATTAGTGACTTGGGCTGCTACTTCGACGTTGAGGTAGTAACCAAAATCTGATAACTGTGCTGAGGTTACCGGTTGAAGCATCTGCACTGAAGTGATAGGCAGACTAGAAAACTTCGGTTACTGCCAGGAGTACTGTATTCTTTGTTTCGGGCCCTAATAAAACAGAAACTTTGCCTGGCTGACTGCCCTATGGACTCCACCTTTCACGCAAAAGGCTCAGGTCATCCGACTGAACCTGCACTCGGAAGCACTAGACTCGAGCTTCGCTCTTGTTGAACCTCACCAGTTGTCCATATCCCCCATCTAAATCGGGGTTTGAACCCTGGTATTTTAACCTCGAAGGCGAATTCAGAGGAATCAATAGAAAAATACGCAACTGAGCTCTTATTTACACCCAGTATATTTCAGAAAAAAAACGACTGTTTGGAGGATGAGGATCAAACCATTTCGGGCATGGACAGCTCTGACAATTCCCGGCTCCAATCCACACCTTAGTGGTCGCGGTCTCATGGTGTACCTTAGCGCCCACGCTTGATAGTTTACTGGACTTTGGCAGTAGTTTCCACTGGAACAGAGTAACAAATGCACGAGGCAGACTGCTAGATGAAGCACTAAAGCTTAGCAGGCACCGGCAGTTTGAACATGCTGCGCATACCCCTTGAGAGGCTTTCTGGGTGTGCAAATTTCGATACGTAGTTGAAAAGTGAGTAAAGATGGTCAGTCCATAACATAGAAGAAGGATATGAAGGACTTGACCACTCGACTCGGGCATGTGGGGCGCTTTAAGCTACATGGGTGGGTGGTTAAATGTTTCACGATGTGGTGACCTACTCTGAACCGTTAGGTTTTAGGGTGAAGTTCTTGCTGACAGACAGCAACCAGAATCCTTACCCAGCGACTGATTACCAGCTGTTCAAACTGAAATGAGCAATCAGTGACAGACAACCTCATGCGGAATTTGGCAGGTCTACCTGAAGATTTGGAGAGGTTTGGTTCGTGGTTAAACCTACCATTGACAGAAATACGATGGTTTAAATGACTAGCAACACCGTGATAGGAAGAAATGACAGATGCGATGAGAAGCACGGAGAAAAATGTAGCGTTTTCTGTGTGTTCATTATTATACTCTAAGAAAAGGTTTCCTGAAAACCAAATAAGCCGTGTGGTGTTTCATGGGTACCATATCACCCAAAAACACAGTAAGCAGTAAGACATCAAAAGCAGTATATGAATATAATGATTTTCGCAGAAAAGTGGGTCGAGCGAGACGCTACTGGGGATTTGTGCACAGGCTATGACCCGGTACCAGACTGCGCTGTTTTTTATCTTGAGTTAAACTGTGACAAATGCTACGCTCACCGCGAAACATTGCATCCAGTTCTGGGAGCCTGAGTAGAATTGATCCTTTGACGAGATATTCAAAAAATGAATCCACTCCACCACCGATGGTGAACTCAACCGCGGTCCAACGACCAGTCAGTACATCAATATGATTGCCCAGCAGACCGATTGATGAACGATACCGCCACAGTGCTCGAATGGCTCGCATTGCTGCGGCCTCGAAACGTGGATCACCTGAAGATATATGGTGCAGAGACAAAATGGACAACCGCAAATGAAAGGTGGAAGACTATACAACCTAGTTATCTGTCAAATACCGGCCGAACCTGACTGTGACGGATTTATACCACTGCCATTTGGAGTACCGAGAATATCACTCTCACTCGTCTTAGTCTATCTATTCCAATACACGCACCTATCAGGATCTATGCAACTCCATGCAAAAAGCAACAGCATCATGCGTGTCTGACTCACTTCATTGCAGCTTACGCCTGAACAATCCAAAGAATTTTAGCAGTCGCGGGGATATTGAGCGGTTTATTCATTAATAATAATAATCCTTCATTTCATTTACTATACACAAGCGGTATAGCATTTCCGGAATGAAGTCCTGGTCAACAAGAGGCTGCCGATTGAGTGAGTGATAGACAGCTGCAGGACTGAAGTCCGGGACGTAAGGATCAGAGGTTCAAAATGATGGCTATTTCACCACTCCCCCCTTTGCCAAACAAATCGGTGAGATAACTGTAAGTCAGGTGATGTGCGAGAATCGACCGGTTGAAATCTGTGTTAAGAACCCAGTCAATGGATGGCAGATGGGCTTCCACTCAGCCATCTCATTGCCGCGAGGACAGGCTTTTGTTAGAACTAAGGGCTTTGATTGAGAGTTCCAATCGTTCTCGTGCTTGGCGGCTGAACATCCTACCAGTGCTCGTCCAACATCTTCCATGACCTGCACGAACACAAAAAATTCCCTACTGCATGAGTCATCACGCAGGATAATCTGGGCCCTTGCAACAAGCGGGGGGGGGGGGGGTAGTGATAAATGAACTATTGCTCAGAGCTCCCTCTGTTTCACTAAACCATTATCTCCTGTCCCCAACCAGCTCTCTTTGCCCCCACTTCCTGTTCATATTGCTCGCACTGATAATACGCTCGATACTCGCAACGGTTCATTTTCAGGTGGTGTCGCAAATAATCCTCACTCTCATAACTCACCTCTTGTCAAGCCTCGTTAACCTCTGAATCTCGACTCGCTTAACGTGAGTACACGCATGCAAATCGGTCAGCAGGTGTGCCCGGGGCTCACAGCTGACGCCCTGACAACTGATGTCAGCAGTGTCGGTGAAATGTGTATCCAAGACTCGAGCAGTGTGATTCAACTAACTGCTACTGGTATGTCTTCGACGTATTTACTGCGTACTTCACGAGATGAAGTAGCTCGAGCTGTAGGTCAACGTGGTGTAGGACTAGTCTTCAATGACAAAGCCAAGACTGCTTTTTTAGACTAGATATCGGTTAATAGTCGTTTTGTGCTGTAAGACTCCAAGGGTCAGTCGGCGTTTGAAAAGATAGTTGTGTTAAGCACAGTTTGATTGTGATCTCGGCATACGCTCCAACGAATTGCAGTTCTGATATGCAGAAGGATGAGTTCTACGATGAACTCACCACCTTCGTTAGCAGAAGCAAATAGTTTGACATTGTAGTGCTAGCTGGTGGTTTTATTGCACAAGTTGGCAAACTTAATGCATCAGAAGCTTGATTAGGTGGGCGTTGTGCCTTACCCACTCAGCGCACGTTTGTCTGAACCAGAAGTTCACAATACTTACAAACAGAAACTATCACATACACTAGGAACTACGACGAACAGTAATGTAGATGAGCAACGTCCCCAGATCAAACAAGCGATGCACGTGCCAGCAAGTTTTTCCTGTGGTCCTGGATCCGATTTTCATCAAAGACACTGGATTTCTGAGGAGTCATTGAGCCTAATGAAGCAAAAATGTCAGCTCTCGAACTGTAAGATGATGAATAAGATACGAAGATATCTATAAAAAAAGCAAGTCCTGAAAAGCCTTCAAAAGGATTGCGAGAATTGGTGGGCCAAGGCAGCCAGAAAAATGGAAGTAGTAGCGCCTCAGGTAACAGTCAAAGACTGTTCAAACTTATTCGCGATACCGGTGGACAGCAAACCCTGGTCAGTGAAATGATATGCGATAGAAATGGAAAGCCTACTCATGGCAAATAGCAAATGCTCGACCGTTGGGTTGAATGCTTCGAGGGTCGGTTTAGCCCGCCGCGCCGCATTGCGAAATCTTCAGGATATGGGCGTCGAACTTGAAAACAGTGAAAAGCTGTGACCTAGATTATGCGGACGACTCTGTCTGTCTGTTCGAATGTACGGAGCATTCGCAACGTGCACTAGATAGACTCGCGAGAGCTGTAGCTCCATTCGGCATGCGCTTTGCACCTTCAAAGTGTAAATAATGTTGCAAATTTGGACGTCAACCGTTCCGAGCTTGATGCTCAATGGGTGGTGCTGGCAGTTTTCGACCACTTCACTTACCTCGGAAGCAGCCTGACGAAGGATGGGAGCACAGCAGTAGCGGTGAGCACGCGGATATCCAAGGTTCGAGCGACGTACGCCGGACTGAAGCACTTGTGGCATCGACGTGGTGTTTCACTGAAGTTGAAAAGTTGTGTGTATTGTGCGGCAGCGCCCCCAGTCCTGTTGTATGGTTGTGAGAAATGGATTCTGCATGCGGAAGATGCACACCCCCAAGGGGCTTTCGACCATCGATGTTCATGTAGTATCGCTAAGATTGGATGGAATGACCGAGTGAGCAATGCTGAAGTCAGAAATCAAGTATTGGATACCAGTTCAGAGAATGTTCTATCACAACGTATCCAGCTTAGTGGAATTCGTTGATTGGGACAGGTTACGTATGTTAAACACGTCTACCGTGCCATGCCCTGTTTACGTTTCTCCTAGGGAGTGGAAGAGACCACGTGGAGGTCAACCTATGACGCGGCAATGAGGAATAAGAAAATGTACAGCAAACTCAGGAAAAGAAGGTGCCTCACGTCTTCGTCATTGGGGTCCAAAAAATCCGTCAACCAGTTAGCTGGAGACACTGAAGGATATGACAGCGAACCCTGAACAGTGGCGATCGTATCGTCACTTTCTGTCGAATCAGAATGATTGACCAGTGTGCGTTTGTGTAGTTAGACTGTGTAATCCATGTGTTGGCTCTCAGAACGTTCTTTCCTCCTCCTCCCCCCCCATGTAGGTCTACTGCCTGCCCATCTTGTACATTCATGCTTTCTAACTCAGCATGCAACATGGTGAGAAAGGCAGTGGTCAGCGGGGCTCGCCCTGCTTTGTGACGCCGTACGACGATAATGAAGATGAACAGTCGACAGCGGATTGATGACACTGATCGACACGCTTAGAAAGAAAACCTACTAGTGGTTGGTCGTATTACGGGTTGACCAGAAAGGACCATCGCCAAACTATCTGGTCTAGTTAGATTCTGTGCGACAAATAGCCAAGGTCACCGAACACCCTACTCAAACATTGTTGTGCGCTACTAAAACAGATGGTTAGGAATGCAGAGACGTCTTATTCAAGTCAAAGATTTCCTTTGTTTGACCAAAATGAACACATTTTCAGTGATAAGTTATCAGCTGCACACCCCAGCAATAGTAATTAGGATTCGGCACTCAATCGTCTGTACCTGTGAGTTGTAGGCCTATACAGAACAAAAGGAAAAGTGGGCAATTTTACCACTGGCTTCAAGCAGCCCTGAAGGCGAGAGAACGTTATTTCGTTTTTAATTTATTTTAATCCCCTTTTTCACGTCAATTGAACCAAAGTAAATTCGGATTACTTTTGACGATTAAGTATTGGCGATCGTTTTTCTGAAGTGTTGTTAACTCCATTAGAAGAATCTCGATGTAAAAGATGCATGTAGCTGGAGCGCCACTAATCGGTTTCTATTCTACGCATCCTCCTTGAAGGCTAATCATTTTACACTCGTCTTAATTCTGACTCAGTTCACCTGTTCTTTCATAGGTCTAATACTATTTTTTCTCGTGGTCTTTTTCTTTTCTGTGCTGTGCATAACACTGACTTTCCTTTCCGCACTCGATGCTTTTCACTACTGACCGCCTTCCATCATGTAATTAGGTCCCAGCTCACCTTACACGTGGCGAAAAAAACTGCTCACAACACAAAGGAATAATTTATGAGAGCAATAAACGCGAAGTGTAAGGCGAGAAGGATTTTCGGGAGATATAACATAGGGCAATTTTGAGTTATACCTGTAATTAACTTTGAGGGATAAAAACCTTTGCAATGCTGTTGCACGCTTTATGATGCCTCACTAGGAACGGCAGAATGGGGAAGAACTCAACAGTGTTCCAAAGGAAGTGGACAGTTTAATTCGTACACTCATAACTGATCACAGGCTCAACCATGAATCGGGAACGTACAGGAATCATTATTTGCGTCAGAATCTGTCCCCATGCTTCATTAACACTGCACAGTGATAAACAATTAGACGTACGTCAGTGAACGCTGCGTTGCTAACCAGAGGCATAAACGAGGAACAAAATTTTAGGCAGTAGACTCATAAGTAAGATAAGAACAACAAACGAATATCAGCATGGCGATTGTACGGAATAAATAGTATCGGTAGCGCACGCATACATTCATTCTCAAACAGAAGGACGTTGACAGAATATGATAATGAGGTCGCCGCTCCGCACGGTTTCTCATCATTCGGGCTCTCTAACCAACAGATGATGGGATCTAGTGGACTCTGACCAGAGACAAGGGGCACCTACTGTCCGACATATCCGTGTAGTAATTTCCTTCATATCGCCTGATGCAAGAAATGAAAACAGTGTGCGATGCGGCAGTTGTTTCTTAGCCATGCGTGGCACGAGTTCTAGTCAACGAAGTTTACTTAATTTGATTGGAGTGGAATAACAGGTCATCTGATAATGAGCCGAATTCCAGACGAATTGCCTCGGTTTCGTTAACCCTGACTAAATCTTATCCCTGCTGGATTTCCCAGAGTGGTGGTCGAAACTTTCTAGCGGGTGAATATTAATCATACACAAGTCTCATAACGGTACAGCAGCCTGATAAATACGACGTTTCCGCATCAGTAAAGCGTTAGGTTGACGCTACAAATGAATCAGTCCAGTGTGCCTTGAGTATGTGGTAGACATTAATCCCCAGTCACGCGACTCGGTACTCTATCTGACATTGGGACTTCATGTGGTTCTCCAATCCAAGTCTCAGAGTCTGGCTGCCGGTCATTCTTCATAGTACAGTGAGCCTTTGTGGATACGGGATATACCTCCTCCACTGCACTCATGAGCAAGCATATAATAAAAGAATGTGCGCATTCCCTATGCGTAAGGTACTTCCATCATTCGTAAGGTAGTCCATTACACTCAGGTCCTCGTCGAGAACTGTTGAAATGGAAATAATTGATATCGGACATTGAGGCAACATTTTCTCATTTGAAAACTTAAGGCGTATGAAGAAGGAGCCATCGTATTTATGACGTCAAATGCTTGTTTGTATAACCAGTTGACTGGAAAATACAAAAGATACTCCGAGAATTGAGTGGTTGGAAACTCCATGAATCGACTGATCGGCATGAAAGCAAACCAAATGCCAGAGGGGCAATCTACTACCCTATCAGAAAGTCCTGTACAAATGTACAGGCTCGTGAGCGTTAAATATTTTGGGACCAAAAACCGTGAACAAGATCCAGTTGGTTTTTCCTAACTTACCTGTCAATCTTGACAAAGTTCCAAACTCCAAAATCATTGTTCCAACACCAGCTACACATGTAACCGGTGTCTCATTCAGGGGAACACCATTGGAGGCTAAGTTAACCGTTCCATAGGGCATCCCGGTTGGTGTATCAAAAGCTGGCAATAATTTGGATGCAAACAATTCCGCATATCGAAGCAGAGGTCCAGAACATGGCCATGTGGATTCCACTTCAAAGCCAGCACGTCGTGAAAATAAATGAGCGGATAGTAGGCCACCCACGACTGACGGATAAATTAAGTACACAACAGAAGGGTTAGACAGATAGATACGAGCATGAAGACTACTGATCTGCAATCACTAACCTCGGATGTTTGTTTCGAACACAGAAATGTTCACATTACGATTGATATCTAAATGATCGAGTAACATTCTGCTGGCACGACGAAATTCGGTGTGATTTTCCAGAATCACGAGAGTATCGAGAGCATCCACAAGGGTGAGAGCATAACTACCCCACGTGTCGTGACCATCACAGGTGAGAGGACGTAGTTCATCCAAGGGATAAGCATGTGTCATATAACCATTATAAGCGTGATAAAACATACGTTTCACCCGATTTCTAAACAATAATTAAGTGGAACAGTCGAACACACCTCAGGACTGCCATTTCCTCCGAGTTAGTGCAAGTCACTACATTGCAGCACAAAAGGTAGAAGAAAAGCTTCGAACTGACGAGACGCATGGTTTGCTAAAAAAGAGGGGTAAATCCTTTCTCAGACAAAATAAATCAAACAACTGATTAAGTTCTTCAGCACCACAAAATATGATAATACAATTCAAAGCAAGCCCAAGACCCCAGTGCTATGAGAAATACGAATAAATTCAATTAGTGGATCAGGAAGCGTAGGAAAGAACTCAAAACAAAGGTCAAGATGATTTTCAGTGGCGAATCCACTATATATTTGAAACCTATAAAAAAATCCTCGAATTGGCGGAAATGTCACTGTTATAGAATATCTCGAGTTCTGATTTGTACAAAAATCCTTAAAGGATTAAAGAAGTAGATCCTTTTATGAAGGGTGTGTTGGTGAAGCTATTGCTTGAAAGCCACTCGGGACATTTATATGCCATGTCAGCGCACACGTGCAATAGAAGGGGATATCCTATAACCCCAAAGGCCCACTGCTCTGTTGTGTCAATCTCCTCACGTTTGCTTACTTTGTTTATATTACGCGTCATATGTTGTACCACTTTCTATTTCAACTGCCGTACCTCCGGTGTTAGACGGATAAAATCCTACATTTGTCCTCCAGACTCTCAGTCGATACAAGACAAGACAAGAAGATGCTTTATGTGCCCCTGACGGTTGCTTACTGTGAAACATACGTAACAAGTTACTCGTCTAATAACACGTTAGATCGTTATTTTCGATGGGACAAATTCGACAGTGATATAAACGCTTTCGTACTTCAAAGCAGTGGATTCACTACCTCAGCACTTTCAGAGCTTTTATGGAACCAGTTCAGTCAAATGATTCTGACAACCTTGATGTACGAAACAAATTCTTTTTGCAGTCATTCTAAGAGTATATTCCAGAATGCAAGACCATTGAAAGTGCCATCTCATTCCCCCAGCCATCGTACGCGCACCCTCAGAAGTGTCACTTTCGCTCCGTAACTACTTGCTGCATGTAAGCAAGATTGCGGCAAAGCATTGTGCAGTTCGTTCTGAGTGTTAAGCCCTCGACGAAAGACTGCGACTTCCGCTCGGTATCCGCCGAAGGCTATCGTACACACGATACGCGCGAAGCACCGATCAATCGGGAAACACTCCTTATCTTTCTGCTCTCCATCCTTTACGTTCCAATTCTAAATGCGTACGAGTAGCCACAATGAGCCGTGACTGTGAACTTGTAGCTCTCGGAAAGGGTAGCAAATTGAAAACAGGGGAAGAAAGAGAATCTTTTCTCCGACCTAAGCATCCTCTTCACTTAGCTGCTTTCAACGTCCGCACACTTTGCCAATCGGGGCAACAGGCTGCCCTAACTAGGACTCTTGAAACCTTTAACATAGACGTGTGTTGTGTCTCCGAAACACGCATACAAGATGCAACTTTAGTGTTAATACTTCGTTCCCCTGATACAACCTCGGATTCTCGTTTCACTCTTCGCGTGTCGGGTAATTCGGCGTTTAGTGCTCGTGGTCAGGCTGGCGTTGGCATCGCTCTAAGCGTGAAGGCTGAGCGTGCACTGCTCGAATAGATCCCAGTCAGCAGCCGTCTGTGTATAGTTTGGTTGAATGGTTTTGTGTATGTCAACAACAATAGACTGAAGCGCCGATGCCTGTTCATCGTTTCTGTGTATGCCCCAAATGACCGTAGCTCTCCTGAGACTAAAGACAAATTCTACTAGAATTTGTCTCAACTGCTTCGCAGCGTGCGCTCTAAGGACATCATAGTTGTTGATTTCAACGCTCAAGTCGAAAGCCCAGACGAGACGGAGAGGAATATGGGAAGCCGATATTGCGTTCCAGCCGATCGAACTGATAACGGTGATCGACTCATTCAACTATGTTCGGACCATGGACTATTCCTAGCGAGTACAAATTTATCTCACAAAAAGCGACATCGGCTAACCTGGCGTCCTCCTGCGCCTTCACAGCGTTGGACTCAGATCGACCATATTGCTATCGGTTACCACTGGCGCGGATCAATTCAAGACTGTCAATCATTTTGGCCCACGTCTGTAGATATTGATCACGCTCTTGTCCGCGCGCGCTTCAGCTTGCGCCTCATCGGTGGCCGAAGCAACGCTAAAGCAAACCGCCGCCCGCAGCTTCCACTGGACGATAACCAACGATCTGCTTTCCGAACAGAATTATCCACCAGGTTACCGATGCAGTCAAATGCCCAGGACCCAAAAGAGCGATGGACAAAGATCAAACAGGCTTAATGTGCGGCTGCTGATGCTACCTAAGGTCCAACAACTAGACGCACCCAAAAACGATGGATATCTGTATCTTCAACTGCACTTTTAGATATGCGCAAAACGATTCCTTCGTATTCCAGATACGATGAGGCACGAAGATGTCTTAAACGCCAGCTGATTCAGAGCCTGAGAAATGACCATGAACAGTTGTGGATTGCAAAGTATAGGGAGATGAAAAAAGCTACGGCGATTGGCAACAGCCGCATTCTTTTCCGTCTGATTAGACAAACCGGTCCACGTAAATCAGGTGTTAGCGAATTGGTCAAAGAGGCGAACGGCTCACTGAATCAAACTCAGGAGCGTCGTCTAATTCGTTCGGCAGAGCATTTCGAGATGCAGTTTATTTGATCTTTATCATCTTCAGGTTTGCTCACTAGCGCAATGAGTACAGCTCTTGTTGTAGATACCAATCCTCTGTCAGAAGTGGAGGTTCCTTGTGAGGTGAGCTATCTTAACCAACATAAAGCTGCCGGACCGGATGGGTTGCCTCCGTCTACTTTCAAAGACGATGGCCCAACACTTCCACTGGAGTTGACGACACTTCTCGGTTTGATATGGGAGAAGGAACAAGTTCCAAAGAGTTGGTGTGAATCGGTGATCGTACCGATTTATAAGAAGAGCGACAGGTCTCCTGTGAAAACCACAGAGGAGTAAGTCCGGTTAGCATCGCATCCAAACTGCTCACTGGTATTATTCTTCACCGCTTATCTAGTGCCCGCGAACAGTAGTCGCGCGAGAATCAAGCTGGGTTTAGACCTGGTCGAGGTTGTATTGATCACATCTTCATTCTTCGATAAGTTTTAGAACATAAACACACCTTCCGTAGGCACACTATATCAGTTTTTCTTGGTCTTAAAGTGGCCTTTGACTCAGTCGACCGCACAGTTCTCTGGCGCTGCATTTTGTTGAAGGGTGTACTAGAGAAATTCATTTCCATCGTCAAGTTCCTTTACATTAATAGTCGAAGCCGAGTTCGGGCTTACGGTGATCTTTCACCCAAGTCCACCACGAGAAGTGATGTATGTCAGGGTTGCTTCTTCTCTCCTTTTCTCTTCAACTTTGTGATTGAAATGGTCCTTTTTTCAGGTGAGGATAGTGGCATTGTACTTTTCCCGTATGAAAAGGTTTTAGACCTTGAGTATGCTGACGATATAGTTCTTCTAAGTGAAGATCCAGGTAAGTTACACGCCTTTCTAGACAGCTTGACGGATTGCGTAGCAATGTTCGGTATGTGTTTTGCACCTTCAAAGTGAAAGATGCTGTTGCAGGACTGCTTTGGTTTAACCCTAAACCTTTCAGTGTCTTGGGAGACTATAAACGTAGTAGACGAGTTTTGTTATCTGGGGAGCTGCATTTCACCCGAAGGTCGGATATTGGATGAGGTATCTCTGCGTATACAGAAAGCTCGTTTGGCATTTTCCAATCTGAGTCAACTGGGGCGTTAACATGGCATCCGTTTACCCATCAAAGGCCGAACGTACGCTGCAGCAGTCAGGCCCGTGCTTCTGTATGGTTCGGAGACATGGCCACTGCGGGTGGAGGGCATACGAAGGTTGGCGGTATTTGAACACCGATTTCTTCGTAGTATTGTTCGAATCTGATGGGAACACCGTGTGAACAATGCAGAGGTTCGGCGGAAAGTCTTAGGTTCAAGGATCAAATCATTAGATGCAACACATAAGCTCACCAGGCTAAGATGGTTGGGACATGTGTTACGCATGTCCTCTGACAGGATCCCTCGGTGTGCTGTGTTTACTGGGGCGGGTACCGGTTGGAAGATGAGTAAAGGTGGTCAGTTAATGACATGGAAGAAAGATAAGAAAAGCCTAACTGGTGGACTTAACCGTGTAGGGCGTGTTAGACTTCCTGGGTGGGGTCCAAGAGACCATCCCACCCAACAGTTAGATACGTTGGGGGATATGGCTTAATGCCGCGACCAGCGGTGCCCTTGCATTCGCAAACTTTCTTCATTGGCTTAATTCTATTATTTTTTCTCTTGATTACATGCTTGCGCATGAGTGCAGTGGAGGGGGTATACACTTCATAGCCACGAGGGCTCACTACACTATTGGGGATAACCGGTAACCGAGCCCTGAGACTTGGAGTGGCGAAGAACCACATAAGGTCTCATTAGGTTAGGTGTGGTAACGATCCGGACGACAGAGGATAACCTTCTACCACCAAAGTAACCGGTGATGGCGGGGATTCGAACCTCGGAATTCCGGGGTGGTAAGCAAACGCTCTAAACTACTCGACCACCATCGGTCAAATGTAGTTATCCTCTTAGTCCTCTGATACTCTTCTCTCCCCCATTACTTCCCTTTGAGATTACCGCTAGGAGACAGCAATCAAAGCCACCGCACCCAGTGCATGATTAATAGTTGTCTGAACAGAACAGAACAGAATGCTAGTATGGATGTAGAACAAGGTCTTTTCCGCGGGGTATTAAACGAGTCTTAGCATCGAGAGTCTCACTCAAATGGTTTGCCCTTTTCTAGCAGAGAATGCAACGGGAAGTCAATCTAGGCGAAGTTTGTTACGAATCTACAGTAGAACGGTCCCAACTCAGAGAAGCTTCTCACTTCTTCCGCGGTTCTTGGTGTGGGTTATGATGTAACCTGTTCGATTATCTCTGAGTCCGTGCGGATGTCAGCAAACGAGATTGCGTCTCAGATAGATCACCTGTGGTTGTATGAAATTGCACTTTTCCAGCTTCAATCGGAGACTTATTTCCGCTAGTCATTCCGGTAAAGCTTCGAAAT